ATATTTAAAGGCTCAAATAATATTATTTATATATTTAAAAAAAATGGGTTTTACATAATTCAATATAACCTAATATCTCAAATTAATAAGAACCCAATAATTACTTTAAATGCCCAATGATACATTTTAGCTAAATAAATATTTGGAACCCAATTAAATAGGATTGTAAATGGTCCAACAGCAACCAACAAAACAAGAAGCCCATGCACAAGGGCAAGAAGAGAAATGGCCGAATGAGCATGGTTTGGCTCGGGATGATAATCGGGACCAATTTAGAACCGGCCCGATCTGGGACCGGTTTGGGATTGTCGGTTAAGAACCGGTTATGGTTTTCATTTAAAAATGGGCCTGACCACGCCCGATTTAAAAAAAAATGTATTTATAAGTTTCTAAGTGTATCAGATTGAAAATCAAATTACAAATTTACAATAAAACATATTTTTTTAAGTGTATTTGGTTGATATTTTATGTTTTCGGCTACCTTACTACTATGTATAAATGAAGTAAATAAATTTAAATCAGCATCTTTTTTAAACAGATTATAGCGCGTGGAAGAAGCAACATACATACCGTGTTTAAGTGAGAGAAAAAAGAGTTGCAAAAACGTTACTTCCCATGGAAGGTATTGGTCAACATTTCGCCATTATTGAAACTTCCAACTCCATGCATCGAACGAACCTTCCTATATGTAAAAATTATAAATAAATTAATAACATCCTTTAATCATTAATTAACAACTTCGTTTTGTTCAAATATATCTCCATTTCCAAGGTTAGTCACCAAAAAACAACCACCTCAACTGATTCTTCATCATGTACCCTTCTGTCTCACAAGACTATCCCCACAACCTACCACCATCACCACCACCATCAGCTCCTCCACATCCACCACCACCACCAACGCAGTATGCCACCGGTATCCCAGCTCACTATATGGCTCCTCATCCTCCCGTCAACGTGAAGTGGTCCAGCAGCCTTTGTGGCTGCTGCTCCGATGTCCCCAACTGTAAGTAGATCACCTTAATTAATATATACTCTTTTGTTCTGTCTATCTATTCGTAAGATATAAATTAACATGTTCGGATGTTTTTGTAAACCGTAGGCTGCTTAACATGTTGGTGTCCATGCATCACTTTCGGACAAATAGCCGAGATTGTCGACAAAGGAAATACTTGTAAGTGGATTAATTAAGGCATAGTTTTCCATATCCATAAATTAATTAAGGAAATACTCGTAATTAAGTGGATTAAGGCACGGTTGAAACAATATATATTTTCTTAGAAATTCGAGATAATCATATATATATATATATATATATATATATATTAACCGAATATTATTAATTATACAGCTTGTGGAGTACATGGAGGTCTGTATACCTTAATTGAGGCTCTCACGTGTTGTGGATGCATGTATTCTTGTATATATCGGACTAAGATGAGAAGTCAACATGGATTGCGTGAAACCCCTTGCAACGATTGCCTTGTTCATTGTTGTTGCGAACGATGTGCTTTGTGTCAAGAGTATCGTGAGCTCAAACACCGCGGATATGACTTATCCACTGGTAACTATACAATGCATATATTCAATTCTGTATTATTTATATGGTAATTAAATCATATGCTTTTCGTATATGGTTTTCAGAATTGTAACATATTTTACATATATAATAACTGATATATATATATATATATATATATATATATATATATATATATATATATATATATATATATATATATATATATATAGGGGTCTAATCAAATGAGAACTAATTAGTTTATGGTAACCACGATTCCAGGATGGCAAGGGAATATAGAGAGGCAAAATTACGGAGTACATATGCCAGCGCCCATGGCTCCCCAAGGAATGTATCGTTAAGTAACCATGCGCCGCTGCTCTTAGCATTGGTTTTTGTTTTGGATTGGTTTCATCCATGAGTTGATCATTAATTATTAGAAAGAACTGTATTTTACAAAATAAATGGCGAGTATATATATATACCATCGATTTATTTGTAATTATATTTTCATTGCTGTACTATTGAATTTCTTTATAATTAAGGCATAGCTTCATAATTAAGTCATGCATGTGCAGTTTGTTTAATTAAGCCATTGGCCGGTTTCGTATCGATGCCATTTAATATGGAACATTTAGCTGTGTAAAAGTTAATAAATAAATACTACTTTTTAATAAATTTAAAGATTTTTTTAATTAATTATAAGATAATGACAGATTATTGGATAATATTCTAAAATGAGGTTGGAAAAGTAAAGAGTAAACTACGTCTAATTTTCTTTCATGTGATATATTGTCAGTTTTATATTTTTATCGTGATTTTTATTTCATCTGATTTATAATTTATTGTTATTTTTATTTCTTATATTTTAATGATAAAGCCTTGATTGAAATTAACCTCAAAAATAAAAAGAAGAATTGAATGAAATAAATTGGTTATTACAACAAAATCAGAGAGATAAAAAAATGGCAATTTTTAACAAAATAAATGGATTAAAACCGTAGTTGAATGGCACCAACTCTTCTTTGATTTTTTATTGGCACATTGTAATGCTCACCTTACGGGTCCAAAACGCCAAGAATTTTCAAACCCAGCATATGACTTGGTGCTTGATATATTTTAAAATAAATAAAATATAATTTTCACATATAAATGTATTTTAAAACAAAATCAAATATATTTTAATAAGAAAATTAAATAATACAATTTATTTCACTATTTTATCTTGTAATGGCTGTTATACAAATACAAGTGAACTAATTAATTCATTAATTAATATTAATACACTATTTTATTACGTTATTATTGATGGATTAGTTTTGTCAAGATACAATGGCCTCTACTATCGACTCCATTAATGGTCTATCGATTGATGTTGATCGTTGTTCAATCTTATGCTTATCATTAATTAATTATAGCGTATTTTACTCATTTTAATAATTAGTTGTTTGTAAACTAACTTATAAGTCACATTCATTCAACTAATTTTCTTTCAATATTCATTTTTATTTTATATCAATTTGTCCATAAATACTAATTAATCAACTGTATCAGTCTAATCTAACACATCAAAAACAACTCGATTCACTAATAACGTCTTTAAGTTTTGATCATTTTTTGAACACCCGAAATGATAGTTTTACTTATAATAACAATCACAACAAGTGTTTATTCGTTGTTTATTTTCACAACAATTGATTTTGTCCATGTTAAGTTGCACACACTACAACAAACTAGAAGTGATGTTGTAATACATTAAAAATGTGTAAATATCGTAATAAAGTGTTTTATAGGAATAAATAATTGAATAAATTCTAGTGCTACAATAGATTTTTAAAACATATTTGGACATCATAACAAATATTTTAAAATGTTTTTTTTTAAATAAAGTGTCATATTATTTTTATACGATACTTAGAGCATCTCCAATAGTTATGCTGAAATAGATAAAAGAGAGATTTTAGCAATTGTTTTGTTCTAATACCAATGATATCTTGTATACTAAAATAGAGAAAAGATGATGCTGTAAAAATCTTTAAATTTAGAGAAATCTCTAAATATAGATGAAAATTATTATTTTAATACTTTTCACCAATAATAGATATTTACAATAATGTTTAGGAGAGAGAAATACTATTTTTTTTGGATATATTACATTAATATTTGCATTCCATATTATATTTGGAATGTTGTTACGAATTTCTCGCATCTCATTGCTTGATCCTTGTTTGTTATCTTGATTAAAACTCGTTTCGCCATATAACTCTTCCACAAGTACGTAATCACGATTTTGTTGAACACCATATCTTCCGCATCATTCTTTTTAATACAATTATGAAGAGCATTATAACATCTATCTATGTTGTCTCGTTAAACCTTGGGATTTTGTTCAATATTTTCCACCTCTTCTTCAAGACTCCAAATGATCGTTCAATACAACTCTGAAAAGATGAATGTACACAGTTGAAAGCCTCTTCAGCATTAGTTGGAAACACATGTTCAAACTGTGATTGGCGATATCTAATACGAGAATATATATGGTGCTAGATATATCCTTTTCAATCAGGATATTGTTTATCTACTATGTAATAATTCCCATGAGAAAGAGAAAACAAATTTCATGAGGTTATTAGCACATATATAAATTATGAAAGAATGTCAAATCAGTTGTACATTTTGGTGGCTTAGGAAAATTCAGTGTCTCAATTGCATCAATGAAGACTCGGGTATAATGTGCTCATCTTAAAGTCACATACGACCATTACATTGAATGTGGGAACTCCTTTTCTGCCATTTGTTCTGCGAGCTAGTGGAATACAAGCATCTATATGAGTACTGTCAATGCACCCGATACAGTCCTGTAAACAAAATTGATTAAATTACTATCTATCTATAAACTTGAGGTAATTATAATTAATATATAAATAAGCATTTACTATACCTTGAAGCTAGTAATGCATGTATATACTGTTATTTTCAATATGTGGTGGTATGCATTGAAATGCTGAATCTTTCGGTCACGTGCATGACCCATGAACCACTTGCTCCTTCCATATATGGATTCCAACACATCATGAAAAGATCGACCGATTGTTTCTCCAAAGTATTGGAACCTTTCACTAACATCTCTGTTCGAAAGACCTAATATTTTAAAAGGTGAATTTTTTTTTTGTAATAACATTAAACTTGTTTCATAATATTTTAATAAACTTGAAAACTTTGTTTTTTTTATTAACCTGAATATTTAACCCGCTATGTGAGTCGACTAATCTCAGGACGACCACTTACTTTACAGATAGCCTGAAGTCACCGCATTTGAAACTTCGTGGCCACATGGAGATTTTTATTCCTCCTTGGATTTGAACATGAGACCTCCTGGTACTTTTGACATTTAGAACCAAACTCAAACCAAATTAATCAGGCACCATCTTTATAGTCGAAAACTTTGTTTCTGGTATACAGAAATGGATAATGATAAGAAATGTCCAAGTTGAATAAATTATTAGTGTGTCTTTTTTGTCGTTGACATTTGTAGTATTAAAATGCTACTAAGGTCCATGAATATGTTAGGCAGTAGCATTCTTGTAACCAACCAAATAGTCTGTTGACTATTGGTTTGAATAATCATGTATTCCCAAACATCTGCACCACCATCAGCTCCTCCACCGGGATATGGCCAACCACCACCGCCTCCACTATATTCCATCGGTGTTTCCTCTTCACCTCTGATCCCTCAGATCTCCTGGTCAAGTGGACTTAATTTGTGACTGTTGCATTGATATCCCTAATTGCAACTTGTAAGTCATACGAACTATATATACAATTTATCTTCATATACACACCAACTAAATACTATTTTTCATCGATGACGATCGCCCGGCCCTCTTTTCACTTTACGTACAAGTTCTTTAATTTATTCGTCGGATAATTCCATTATTTGACTTTTTATACTTCCGCAGGTTGCTTAACATGCCGGTGACCTTGTATTATTTTCGGAAAAATGGCTGAGATATTGTAGATATAAAGAAGTATCTATAAGTTGCTAGATATCATCTATTAAACTAGAACTGATTTTGGGGATGATGGTTCATAAATAATATGATTTGTAACACAGCTTGTGGAGTACATGGAGCCATCTACGCATTGAGAGATTTACCTATTAACGATTCAGAGATTGCCTCTTAATGGAACTATTAAGAGGTAAACAAACAACTCCTAAATTAGATTTGGAAATTAATGGATCAAGGCACTACAAGAAAAATGACCTTTAGAGAAGGTATTGTTTTGTACTTAAAAGTCTTAAAAACTTCTCTAAAACCTTTAGATAAGCTTTTAAATTTTGTCAAAGAGCTTCTCTGTGTGACRGTAGGTAAAAGTTTTAGAGAGGGTTTTCGGAGGGTATGTTTTTGTTAGCCTTTAGAGACGCTTAATTGAGAMTTTAGATACACTTTTAAAGCTTCTCTAAAGGTTAGTCAACTTTTTATTCAAAGCTTCTCTAAAAGTATATATATTAGTGACACTTTTCAAGTATTTGTGACGTTTTGTAAGAGTTACTAAAAGATACTTTTAGAGAAGATAATGGAAAAGCTTCTCTAAAGATATTGACTTTAGTGACACTTTTAAAAACCTTTTCTAAAAACTCTAATTAGTTACAGTTACGAAATCTTCTCTAAATATGATATTTACATACACAAACTCAAAAT